GTGCATTTTTTCGGATAATCCGAACAGACAAAACTCCCAATTAGTTCGGAATACCGGGGTTCTACTGTGTATGACAAGTTATTCAAATATAAAGTAATGGTGTGCCAAAATACTAGCGCGGAAGAGCTAGCTAAACAGCCATCAATGTCATCTTTTAGTGTCTGTTAAGCTGCTGCTTAGACGTGTCAGAAGTGTTCCCGCGGAGTCCTCGGGAGAAACTGATGCGAAGGAGCGAAGAAATGCTAAAATATTTCCTTGTGGTCGCGGAGGACAGTAGAGGAAAAGTGTGAGGGGGTATCCGAAATGTCAGTGGGGCCTTCGCCAGGTCTCCGAGGAGCCGGCGAGAGTTCTCTCCAGCGGTACCCGCGCGCTTCACTCTGAGCCGGGTTTCTGCTTCGCTCTGCGCGCGCCGGGCGATTTACGTCGCATTCCGCCGGGCTGCAGCGACCGAGTGCGTCTCCCGCCCCGTCCCGCCCCGCCCTCACGCGCCGCGATCTGCGGGAGGAACGACCGACGGGAGGGCAAGGGGCGCTGCGCAGCGCGACGGGGCGGCATGTGCGCGATCACCCCGCACCGCGGCTCCCCGCTCGGTGCCAGCGTTCCCGGGGTAGGGGGCCTAGTCACAAGAGCCGGAGGCCAAGGCGAGGGGGAGACGCTAGGGGTTGTGGGCGCTTGCGAATGTAGGTCAGCAGCGCTTTCCGTGCGCGCGCCGCCGCGTACTGCGGCCCAGTGGCCGCGGCACCCACGCCCACGCGCAATGCCACGCCTCGCCAACGCCACCTTTAGTGTGGCCTGGGCCGGAGCCAGGGTTATCGATTCGCGCCTCCGATCCACCGCCGCCAGTTATCCTCCGCGGCCTTCACCCTTTCGCCTTTCCGTCGCTTTCTGTTCGTGCTGCCCGCCCCCGCCCCCCGCCGCCCCGCCCTCTCCACCCCTCTCCACCCCTCCACCCGTCGCTTGCTCCCTCTCATCCCTCCATCCCGCCCCGCCCTTTGCCCGCTCCGAGCCTTTCTTGTCACTGCCTGTACCCGGCCCCTTCCCGTCCCGTCCCTTCCTGTCCCGCCTCGTCCACAACCGCAATCATCGAGCCCACTCTGCTTTTCATACTGCCCGAAAAGACCAATCGTCGCGTTGCATGCCCTAGGCTGCGAATAAACCAGCGAATGCGACTCAGGAGCTTGGTTCAGGTCGCGTAGCTCCGGGCACCTGGCCGCGTCTCTTTTCTCTACCCACAACATTCGCGCTAGCACACACATATGGCCGTGTGTGGTGAGAGCTGGGAGCAATACGCTTCATAATTCCCCGTGCACTTGCGAACGAGTAAACCGAAGGAACTGCTAAAGCTCTCGACGGACTTGGCCGGGAGGAAAGGGACGCAGCGGAGATGAGAGGAGCAAACTGCCTGTAGCCTGCAGTGGAATTCTAATCCGGCGGAGTGTGACCTGGGGACAATGGAGCTAGTAGCGGCGCCGGGAATGTCTGTCCCTCCCTAAGCTTCGGGCCGAGAATGCGCCGGGCTCATCTCGACAGGTACCGAGCCCGGCACACCCCTCCTTTTGCTCCTGGTTTCTAGTAATTTCCCTTTTTTTATCTTTCTCGCAACAATACGTACTTGTGCAATAAAAAGTAAGAAATGTAATACTTCAGCGGGAAGTGGCGATTTTTCGTCAGAAAAACTCGTATTGGGCAGCCGTGTATCGAAAAGTGAATGAATCTTTCCCTACATGTACGAGTAGTAAATTTCTTCATCTTACCCGTTCTGTGGTCAGAATCCACGTTTTGTGGCTCATGGAAACCTATAAAAATATGGTTTACGGCAAAGCTTCTGTCTTGGCCCGTCTGTCTGTTCGTGGTCTGGCACTTGTGGTTTTCCCCCATCAATCTGGCCGAGGCCCTGCAATTTTGAAAGGGATATTTTGATTTTGGGGATTTTTTACATGAAACCTCAGCATTTTTTAAATGTTCTTAAAAATAGCTCAATTTTCTTATTAAATTTGTTCTTCAGAGAAAAGGACGCTAAAAAATTATGCAGGTCTACTTTTCGTTGAAATCTGAATTTTTGAGAATTGCAAACATTCGAAATTTTTTCGGCGGTTTCCTACAGTTACAACATTGAAGATAAAGATTTGTTTCTTTATGAAATGTGTTTTTCAAAGAATTGTTTAAATGTCATACACTATTTTTTGCAAATTTGAGTAATTTTCGCGTAATTTTTACGTGAAATATAGGCAATTTTTCAACAATTATTTTCTCAAAAAAATCTCCAAACTACTTTTATTTTATTCTCGAATAGAGGAAAGTATGCTTAATAAAAATGGCGCAGTTCCATTTTCGGCGAACACACTATTTTCGAAAAGAGCAGAAAATGAACAATGCAGAACTACAATATTCATAATAGAGTTTTTCCCCCTTAATGAAGTGTTCCAAAAAATTCGATCTCTAAATAAGGTCATGTGCAATTTATGAAAATACGAGTAATTTTTTTTGCATAATGTTTGTATTGAAATTGAAGTAAAGGCAATATAGACTAAGAGCATTGGAGCGTCTCTTATTACAAGCAAATAAGTAATATGATGACGTGAAAAGCGAGAATGTAGCGTTTTCTGTACATGTGTGTCAACTGCTGGGATGATCATTAGCTATGGCTATGCTGTGTTAGTCCCGATAGTGTAATGCATGTTATAACCATGGAAGTGACGTTCTACCCTCACTGGAACGTGAGACCGGCACCTACCTGAACGTCGAGCTTGCGGGGTTTCTTCCTCGTTTCTTCCCAGCGGGGACAAGCTAGCGATTGGTCTCCCGTGGCAGTATTATATAGTACAGTGTAGTGTCTTATGTGAAATGGAGTGTTCGTAAGGGGACAGGAGTCAAGGATCAGGAAGTGAACATGGTGCTCGGGGGGTGGCCCGTTTGTTAGGATATTGCTCTGGCATATGCTTGGTATTAACCGGATAAACCACAGAAAATTGCCGATCAGCACCTCCTTTTGAAGCCATGGAAAAGAAAAGCCTCTTCAATGTTGTACCGTCCGTCCAAAGCCGTTAAAAAAATTGCTGATCACCCCTCATTTTTGAGACGCCTTGCGTGGTGCCATGAACTATGTCGGTAAAAATCATTAAAACTGTACAAGCCTACATTATTGGTTTAGTCCTTTTAAATTAAATTTGGTTCATTTGCATGTATTTACTATTTCACGTGAACTTGACTTCCCATTTATTACTCTGTTTTATCAGTCACATTGTTCCTCCTTGTTCCATCTTAATTTATCTTATGCTTTGTTACACACTGTATTTCGCCATGACCACCGTGTCCCTGTTAGACAGTATTTCACTGCACAACCGTGTCTTCGATCTTCCCACACTCCCTCCGTTTCGTGGTTCCCACGTGGTGGTAGTATGGGCCCATCTAGGTCTCTCCATCCTGGCAACGTGTCCTCCTAATTTCCATTTCTTCGCCATTGATTGAGCATCAGTTATTCCGGCCATTTTTCTTATTATTTCAATTCTTATCTTTTGTTGGATTTGTACATGTAGGATTTTTTTTTCCATCCTTCTTTGACAGACATAATCTTCTTTCTTTGTTTCTCTGTCAGGCCCAGGTGTGAGCTCCAATCAGCAACACTGGTAGAACACAACTGTCCATTGGTTTCTTCCTTTCAATTTTTATAGTTTTGTCTAGAAGTAAAAAGGACAATGTTTAAAATTTATTACATGCAACTAATTCGTCTTTCAATTTCTTCGTCTGATCTGTTGTGAAATGAGATAATCTGTTCTAAATAAAATTAAAAAAATATTTACATGCGTAATTTTTTTTTCATCATTCGCGTTTTTCTTTCTCTTCGTGATTCCTCATCAAATAAGTTATACCAGCGTTTGTTAGACCCACTGTTTTTGCTGTGAAAACATAAGTCTATCATTGTCTCACGTTCCTTAGCTGATTTTGCGAATAAAACTGTGTCATTCACAAAAAAACAGGTGTGGCCCCATTAATTTTTTATTCCAAATTTGTTTTCCCGATTTAAATTCCGGAATACTTTTTCCAAAACCGCAGAAAACAGTTATGGAGTCATAGGATCTCCTTGTTATTCTAAATTTATCTTATATTCTAAAACCTGTTGGACGTGTGTAGCTGATCTATTGTCGTGATTCCGAATATAAATGCGATTTGTTCTACTTGTTGGTTGTCGTCTTAACATTATGGTGATGCTTTTGGTTAGAATTTGGAAAAGGTTTTGTATGTTTGAGATTACGCTAATAGGCCTGTAGTTATTTAACTTCTCTCTAGAGCCCTTCTAATGAATAAGTAGTGCTTGATGTATAAAATTGTAGGTACCACAACGCGCCCAAATAATTATTAATTCAACAGATGGTTATATATTTATAATATGATATAATATAATTTAACAAATATTACCGAAGTACCGGAACGCCGTTCCGTTGTGTTCCGCCAGAAATCAAGCTCTGTAAGTGTAATAATGCTAACTGTCCACTGACCTAGTATTTATTCTTTTTTTTAAGTAATTTCTAAGTATGTTGCTTCTATAGCTATGCATATTTCTTCATTATAATAGGAAGGATGGTGCTTGAATTAATCAAAGGAAAAGAGTTGGATGTCCCGCCAGAACGCTTGAACGCTATTCGTTGTAGGCGTCGGTCGCCATTTTGATGCATCCACCAAAGAGAGGAGGAGAAGCAAAGAGCCAATGGCAGCGTCTAATGCTGCGACCGCGTTGTCTTGATACATGTAAATATTAAAGGTCCCCCTCACATGGTAGGCATGCCGGTGCGCGGCAGAATTTAATCTGCTGTGATGATATTGTTACATTCTGTGTAGTGTAATCAGCAATTTCGACGATTAGGCTTACGTCTTTATTTCAAATAAAAGGCGATGATGTATGTTGGCGGTGCTAGGAACAGGGGTATACCATAACCTATAAATGTAGTTGTATCGAAGATCGCAATTACATTAGTTACAATAAGCATGTTTTATTTTTTCAGTTCCAAGCATCGTCGTGCACAACGGGTCCAGCACGCCGGGTAGCCCGGCCATGGACGCGGCGTCTCACCGCGGATCGGGACTCGAAAAACAAGTAATGTATTGGCTTTCTTTTAGTTGGATATAGTTTTTGCGTGAATATTGTGACTTTGGCTTAGTACTCACCTGCGTGGACTGCCAACTCGTCACTGAGAATTGTCATCAATTTCTTGGTGTATCCATGACTTATTCTACCGCAACCAAGCGAGATCGTAGGCCTAATAATTTTTTGTTTTCTTTATTTACCGTCTGTCATTGTTGACAAGTGAACATCAGAAATATTTGCGTTTATTTAAGTGTTTGTGACGCGAGTTTCATTGTTTTCGTTTTCATGTTGAGCTTTCTTTCGTTATTTTTCATTGTTTGGTTTTTGATACTGATTGACTCATATTTGTAAAATTACTAGTCAACATTGTTTTCAAACAGTTGACCTTGCATGACACAGTCTTCAAATGCCAGTATTTGTTAAATTAATTTGTAAATATTGTTGAAATTGGTGAAATGGATATATCAAAATATGTTGACACACAATATTCTGCTAATTAGTTAGCCAGAGAAAATGATATTGCTCAGTTAAAAGGTAGGATGAGTACTGATAATTCTAACTTGAACATTTTTATTGAACAATGGGTGAATTGAGAAATCCTGAAAATGTTTGTAAGCTGTCAGTGTGGTTTAAAAAATGTATAGCTTTCTTAGGGTTTTCTTATTAAAATAATTGTGGGATTGACATTTGTTTGAAGCTACTAGTTATTTCATTGATACTTGTCATTTTAATACTGGGATTGGTCAATTGTTTGGAAGGTTAATTAATTGATTGTTTTGGTTGGTATTCTATTTGAACACTAACTTGTTCCAGTGGAAAGCTTGTGCATTGTAATATCAGATAATTTTTTCTAATCTACACACAAGTAATTTCTGATTGAATTGTAAAATACCTTTTTTTCTTTCTGTATGTATTTTTATGCTACAATCTTTTAACTCTAAGGTGTAGTTAAACTCAAGTTATTAGTGAAATAATCGCATATATGCTTATGTTTTGTAGGCAGAAGGAGATGAACCTCCAGGAGGGACAGAAGACATCAATCACAAGTGTAATACAGAGTCTGAAGAAAAACCACCAACTTCCACCAGACTGAGGGTAAGTTTCAAATTTTTGCAATGAAAATTGGGATTTCTGTGTTATTTTATTTCCTAACTATATTGGGACTACTTATTGAAATGCTTTCTCATGGTTTAATTCAAAGATTTTTATTTGTAGTTAATTGAATTTGTCAGTAAGTAATTTGTAAGTAATTGAAAGTAATTTCAAGAAATTAAGTAGAAGAAAGTAATTTGTAAGTAATTTAAAAAGTAATTTGTGTTAAATGTATTGTTATTGTATGTTTCATTTGGATACTGTGTATTGATTCAAGGAAATCTATGTGTTGCTTGCAATTATGCAAGAACTTTCTGAAATTATTTTCCATCTAAAATCCATTAAAATGATTCTTCAAATTTAAACTCCTTATGAGTTATTGTGTATTATCAGTTAAGAAATAAACATTTCTTGGCATAAGTGAGATACTTTAAACAAGATCTATTAAAGAATTTTTTATTAGAGATGATTTCTTAAAATCCTTATATTATGCACTTCATAAATTTGATTGAAACTAGATATTTCTAGTTTGTATCATTACATGTGTAATTGCTGTAATTTGTTAAGTAAAAAATAAGATACATTAAAAATGAAAACAAAAACAAACTGTAATTGAACTTGAAATTAATTAAACCAAAGTAGAAAATATTGTTGGAGTATTGTAGCTGTTGTATTACAAAAATGTTAACTATAGTTTTCTTGTTTGTTGACAGTCTCAGTCAAAAGTGAAACTTCTGGTACGTTCTCATGCTGTTCGAGAAGAAGCATCTCCACCACCTGATCCGGGACCTGTATTACTTGATGCTCAACAGCCACTTCCTCAGATACTTCATATTCCCCAGCCTTCTTCTCCTCAACAACAATCACAACAGCAGCAGTCAACATCTGCAGCTACTGGAGATTCATTGCGCCCAAATACTGGCAATCGCCCACATAAACTTCGTCATCAGGGTTCCAGTCAGGGAAGTGGAGATTCATCCTGTCCATCCCCTGGTGCGTGTTTGTCAAGAGGTGAGCATGTAGTTGTAATAGGTTGTGGAAATAAGTTTTTTAAGGACCGACTAAAGAGTACTAGAAGTGAATGTATGTGCTGATTATGTCTTGACATGGTTTACCACGTCTTGTGTTTTCTCAAGTGGTGCATGGAGGAGAGGTCACACACAGGTGTATCTGATATGAGCTGTAATATTTCTGTAGCCAGAAGTTTACCACACCATTTGTGATGCATCAAATTGGTTAGTAATGATTATTATTTATTGAATCATTACTAATTCTATCTAATCTTACACAATTCTCAAAAGTGTGTAATGTAGGGTCCCTTGTGTTTTACAAATTACCAAGTAGAGATTAACATAGTGATGTACTTTAAATGTTTTAAGGAATGAATGCTAATTTCTATTCAAGGATTTGTTTCAAATGGGCTGTGCCTAAATTTGGGTACTTGAATGCGATTGACAGTAATTGAATCATGAATTTACAAATACTTTTTCTGTAAAATAGTGCAATCACTGGGTAACTGATTCCTGAAATTACAGGGAAAAACTGAAAAATTAAAGGCAAAAAATATCCAGGGAATCAGTTGGTCATGACAAAAAAGTGCATTTGATGTGAGCTTCAACCTTAGTGGAAGGAAAGGATTATATGTTAATGAGATGTTGCAAATACAGTGAAATCTCAGTATAATTGACATCAGTATGACATACATTTCAGTTCGGTGTATATATTTGAAATCCTTGTTTAAATACCCTATGCTACAATGTAAATATATTTCACTTTTATGAACTTCCTACTCAGACCTATTTCAGTATTACATAGTAAAACTGTTTGGATTAGAATGTTTTTTTTATAATATTGAATCTGCTGTTTTCCCCAGATTTTTGGGGATATGTATTTCGTAAAGTTTCCTTTAAGGTTATGTCCATTAAACACAAAATGCATGGGTTAACATGTCTATACTGCACATCAATCAACTTAATGAAGATAAGATCTAGTTTCCCATAATCACAGCAGGTAGAAACAGTAGTCATCATTTCTGGATCATGTGATGGGAATGGTAGTGAAAGTTCTGGTTGCGAATACACATGCTGTGGTGGTTACTGTTTTCTAAGTGTGTTTTGAGATGGTTAGTAGTGGTATTCATTTAAATATATGACTGGATTTGATTGCAATGGAAAGTAAGAAAAGCAGACGGTTCACTATAGAAAAGAAAGTGGATGTAATTAAAAAAATAATGGAATGGAGCAGGTTGCTGTAGCATTTGCATATGACATGAAGCCAACTTCAGTTTCAACAATTTGAAAAGGTGAAGAAAAAATTCTAAAAATGTATGAACAATCGGCAATACGTCCTAATAGAAAGAATATTTTAGGGGATTGGAGGATTTTCATAAAGTGGATAAGGCAGTATACATGTGGTTTAAGGAAGTTAGGTCTTGTGGGGTTGTTTCTGGACCAATAATATAAGAAACAGGAAGACAATTTACAACATTAAATGGATGTTAAGGATTTTCAGCCAAATGCTGGTTGGCTGTTTTGTTTTGGTGAGCAAAATGGCATAATTTGGGAGACTTGTCAGGGAAGCTCAAGATGCTGATATGATCACTGCTGGAGAGTGAAGGAACATCTAGAAAATCCATTTGAAAAGTATGATCTTAAAGATACTTTCAGTGCATATGAAACAGCATTGTTTTATCAAATGTTGCTGAATAAAACAATGTTTTACAAGGGAAAGAAGTGTATAGGTGGAAAAGAGTTGAAGGAAAATTAAGAGCAATATTTTGTTGAATTACGAGTTGTACGGAAACATTAAAGCCTAGGTTTGTAGGACATAGCTAAAAGCTTTTTGCTGACTAGACAATTTGGGAAAAGAGAAAAGGAAAATCCTATTGTTGGTATAAAGTATAAAGTAAACTGCAGGTTGGAAAATGTCAATATTGACTTTACTTCCCCTGAACTGCACTGCAGCCACCAGACCAGGGAACGCAAAATGCAAAGGTACTTTTGTAAACAACTGGTTCATTGGATTCTATTCAACCTTAAATTGGAAGTTTCAACCACAATCAACATCTACAAAGGATGCAAATGTTAGCAAGGGATTGGTGGAATATGAAAGCAACAATAATTTGCCAATTTTTGGAGAAAGTCAGGAATTTTGGGTTTGCAAGAGTGCTTTACCAGAGGTTAATGCTTGTGAAGATAATTGTGAGGTGTGGGAACAAATTGCAAAGGAGTTAGAACATCTAATCGTTTGTAACATTTGATGATTGCCAATATCAAAGCTGGAACTGAAGAAGGAGAAGAAAAGATTGAAACAGTGTCTTCAACAGAGGCAGTTTTGGGAAGTTAAAATTGTATGAAAACTTGGTGGAAAGCAACTTGCTCAAAAAGATTTCTATCTGAGAATATTTTAATGAAAATAATTTTTTAACATTTTTTTTTCATTATTTTTGTGTATTGGGCAAAATATTTTAAGAAAAGTTAATTAAAATTGTGTTTTCAGTGTAAAGTACTTCTCTATATAAAGTACAAATAAAATGATTTTATGATTTAATACTTTAGAGATTTCAATGTAGTTGTTCTGACAACTATTTGCTGTTTGCACAAAGCTAATGACTATTCTTTAAAATGCAATGTGTGACTATCATCTAAATTATACTTCACCTTTTTTAACAAACAGGTACAATAATAATCACTTTTGAGGAGGTGGTAATGAAAAATTAATTACTTTGAATAATTATATTTTGATTAGTTTGGATGGTTTGAATTCTTGCTCAGTATTGTCTGAAATTTCAAGGGTGGCATAGTCTCTGAGGACTAGTACAGAAAAGGATTTAAGAATATTTTTAACACAATGGTTCATAAAAACATTATGATAAAGATATATTTGTTATGACTGTTACTCTAATCCTAACATCATTTTACCAGTTATTGGTGTAATATATACAGTACAGAGTTGCATGTTATTATGGATTACTCATAATTATTAGGGATCTCTCATTCTATGAGGAAATCATTTGAAATTAAATTAATATAGTGTGTTCTTTTAATTTTATACCTGTTTTTATATTGATGAACGTTCTTGAGCTTATTCAAGTACTGTAGATCAAATGATAAAGTACTGGCTCGGTAAGACTAATAGGGTCCCCAAACAAAGAAAAGTAATGTTTTCAGCAATGATTCTGAGGTAAAATAAAATGTTTCATTGAATGTTAGCTTCCTAACTTCCAAAGAGAACTAGAGGCCTGGGGTGATATGTGGTAGATCCACAGCGACCCCTTTCAAACAAACACCGTCCCCCATGTACACAGAATTTCTCTGAGAAAAAACTTATAGCAGTTCATTTGAATTAGAAGTAGTAGATTTAGTAGTATTAGTAGATTTTTGTTTTGAATAAAAAAAGAAAATTGAGGTTGTAAAGAAGTTAGGATCTAGGGGCCCTGGCGAAGTGTCCCTGCTAACTCACTCACTCATTACCACTACACTGCAAATAGTTTTTTTTTATTACAGTTTTATGTTTCAATGCCTTTATGCGTAGCAAATTTTTAGGAAGTATTTTTTGTTGGTTTATTTATTACTTTAGGGGCAGTTATATCCAATTACGATCATGTACAAAACTGAGTTAGCACACAAATATCTACAAGAATATAACACTATAGGATAAAGAGAAATTATGATAAACATGAAGCCATTAATTGCACTGGATAAAATTAATCTCCAAAAGTTAGTAAATTCAGTTGAACTGTGAACCATAAATTCAACTTCATAATTAACAGAACTACAGATTCTTGAGAGAAAGTTATTGATGTATAGATTGTTCAGTAATACTGTAAAACAAAGGACTGCTAATGTTTTGAGTGCCTATTGGGGACCTGAAACATCTGTGGGAAAGTAACTATTGACAGTCAGTGCCATGTAACAATTTGTATAAATACATATGGTCATTATAAATTCTCGATGATTCGAGAGTTGGAATGTTAGATACCAGAGAGATCTTCTTGTAATCGTGATCTGGAAATGGATCAGGAAGACCCATTTGAGGTGTAAGAATTTCGAAAAATTTGTGTTGTACTTTCTCAAGCCTATATGGAAATCAAAGTTTGTGGATCAGACAATGGAGATAAAAAGTAGGTGAGATTTAATAAAGTCAAAGTATATTGTTCTAAAATCAGTACTATTTCTGATCTCACTACTACTTCTCCTAATCAGTCCAAGCTGTTGGCGGTCTTATTGATGACTGTATGAACATACTCGCTGAAACTCATGTTCACACCAAAGAACCACAAAATCTCTTATTGTTCTATGGTGCCTGTTCATGAGGTTTGCACCGTTGGTAGAATAAGAGCCATCAAAGGTATTTCTGCTTCTCGAGAAAGTGATAAATTTACGTTTCCTAGGATAGAGATGCACATCATTTGATAAGCACCAGGCATGACGAGCAAAATTATTTTAATCTATGTAAAAATATTTATTCATAAAACAAGTTTTAGAACTAATTGCTGTCAAATTTGATTTTAAAATTTTGTTTGCTAATGGTCCTCCCCAAAAGCTGTTAAAAGTAATTTCAATTGCCATTGTGTCTGAGTGGAAATTTTCCATAAGTAGAAAATTGACTTGAAGTAGAAAAAAATGATCTGATACTACCTCAAGTCATATTTTAAGAAACTAAATTAGTGTTGTATTTTGTAGAATTTAATTTTGTAATTAATCTTGTAGAATTAAGTTTTTAAAACTTCTCGTTCTGATAACTAGTTTGAAGTGTCAAAAAAGAAAATTGGTGTTTCAATTGCAATGCTGATATAGAAAAGCAGTGCTAATTGAAGAGGTTTTAGGCAACCAGGAAAACTAAAGAATTGCTCACAAGGTATTGTATATTGCTCTTCAAAAATCATTTTGAGTATCTTCTTTTAGCACCTGTTTTCTGTTTCAGCATTGCCATAGGATCTGAAGTTATCCGTCTTAATATTTTTACTTGAAATCTTCTCGGAAACCAAAATGATATTCCAAAATTATACC